TTATTATTATTATTATTATTATTATTAAAATGTAATGTTGTTTTATGAGCACAGAATGTCCTCAGATAGAAACTCTCACTAATAAATCCTTGTTGTTACTCTCTTTCTTTATGACTGTTTTGTACTAAAAATAGTACAGAAATAGGGATGTGTCTAGAACAACACAACAATAAAGCTACCTGTGTGTTGTCAGTTTTAGTCACCTGACAAACTTTAACCTCTCATCAGTCTCCTTGGATTAATCTTTATGGACAATATAAAAGGTGATGTGCCTACAAGCTGTAATGACTTTGATTGTCATATTGCCTGACAGCATTTGTGTTTCTGATCAGCTTTTTTTTCTTGTCTGAATTATTACAACCATGAAAATGTTCTAATAAAATAAAAGTACTTCATTGAATTAAAAAAATGTAAAATCCTACCTAAACGCCTCCACGGGTTTTAAACTCTCACATACATACAGAGTGTGATCAAGCTCTGCCTTTATCGGTCCTGTTTCTAATGTTTCACCAAGTGTTTTTTTTTTTTTTGTAACACTGATATAAAACACTTTACATGTCCAGCCAAACATCAATAAGTTGTTCAGCTTTTATGACCAAATAAACCACTAAAATTTAATACTTGTGTACAGTTTAAAGTCAGCTTTAGTTTTGTGGGTTGTTTTTAGGGTAAAAATTTTATGTAATTTTTCAGACTTTTTTTTTTTTTAGCAATTTGAGCAAAGGAACGTGCTCTCAGAGGCTTAGCATTTGACACCTTCGTATATTTCTGACACCAGCACGCAGCATGTATGCTCGATGTATGTGGGCGTACAGACAAGCGCTCAGCGCACAAATGCAGCTGAAAGCATCAATATCACATTTCCTGTGGTCTTAATTTCCAAGCAAAAGCACAAACCCTAACTTTTTTTAAGGAGGGGGTGGGGGTTGCCATTTTGTGAAGCAGTTCTTTCCAAAAAAAATGAACAAATAATAAAACATTTATCCACATTCAAATTTTATCCATTAACAAGTTTCTCTCCCTCCACTCAGTGTAGATTTTACAGGTTTTCCTGTTGTTTTCCTGCAATTACAGACAATGCAACAACTTTACAGATTAGTGCTCAAATGAGTGCATTGTTTCATTTATGTATAATTGCAGATGTAATAAAGATGTTATAGAATAATGAGCCATTTTGATCACAGCGTCAGTAGGTTTGTTTGTGAATTCAAGATCTCAGGTAAGTTTCAGGCCGATCTAAACAACACAGAATCCAAACATGTTTGAGTGATATTTCAGTTTTTCCTTTTCATTTCTTCATTTGTCCTTTTTTTTGGTTTCTTAAATGGTCAATTTAATAGAATATAAAATATGTGGAGGAAAAGTTCATTCCTTTTTTAAAAAAATGCATTAAAACAATAACAAAAGCAACTTTATTAACGCCTGTTAAAGATAAAACAAATGATCACAAATGCTCTGGTTGAAATAAAAATTGCTCTCAACAACAAGAAGAAAACTCTCTTATCTTCATAAATGGTTCTATTAAACTAAAATTCAACGAGCTCACTGAATGAACTTTCTCTCGTGTAGAAACCATATCTCCAGAACCTCACTGGTCTAGTTCAGATTACCTGCAGCTCTTATCTCCACGGATGACCTTTGAAGGCAAGAGATAAAGAAAACATATTGTGTAGGAGGCTGTAGATGTGGTTTGTGATTTTATGTTCTTGTAAAGAAAGTTACTAACAAAAAAAAAAAGAAAAAAAAGGAACAGTCTGCCCCCACACTGGTCCTGTTGCAGAGGTGTCACTCTTTCAAGGATCTGCACTTGCACTTAGTGCAGAACAGCAGCACAGCACTACGCTGCAATGCTCACTAAAAGTCAGTGAATATCAGAATTCTGCGTCGCGACTGAAGTGAAATGATAGAGTCACAGTTGTGAGAGCTTTGCAAAATAGGGCATGCAATTATTCAAATGCATTGAGTGCAAATTGGGCAAGTTCTCTTCAACTAAACAGCTTGTTGAGTGAAGGTTTTACACTAAAAGAAGAATAAGAAGGAAAAAAAGATATTTAACCTTTGCACTATTTATATGTAAACTTATTGTGCACTTGGGGGAACAATGCTGTCATTGTGCTGAGTTCAGGTGGCCCAAAAAAGCTGCCTTTATGTTTGATGCTGCCCTCTTTTGTTCAGCTGTGGAAGTGAATCTTTACAGAGGGAGATCACACTCGTTACCACTAAAACCCTGCATGAAGTGACAGTTGAACACATTTATAAAAGGGATGAGATTGTTTTTAATAAATAAATGCAATGAGAACAAAGAAAGACACCAAGCATCACAAGAAATAATCATGCAAATAAAAGTGAAAAGAGAAAAAAAAAAAAAACTGTGATCCTGACGACTTCTGAACATCATTGTCAGAAAACTCACTTTCAGCAAACATGAGAAAGTGTTCTTTGTAAAATAAATAAATAAGAAAAAAAGGTCTTGTTTGTAAAAATTTACAGCATGTAATCAAAAAGAAATGTAACACTATGTGGTTTCAGCTTTCTAAAACATAAAGTTTCTCTAATTCAACATCTCTTTTTTATGATATGTGCTACTTTTCTCCCCTATCTTCATTTAACACCTGTCTCAGATTTTTCCTGCCTCAATGGGAAGCACCAGATAGATTTGTGGTGATTCTGGCTGCCAGAAATCGATGGCTGACACGTGAGAGCAGCTCCAATCCTGAAAGCATGTTCTGAAGCTTCACCACATCGATCAGTCAGCTGATCCATTCAGCACATGTAAAGGGTAGCTGATGTACAATCAATAGAGGTGACAGCAGCACAAATGCAAAGAAGCGATTTTTTTCTTTCTCTGTCATTGTACTTTTCAGAACACTACTAAAACAGACACATTTACTATCAGAATCACATTTCCTTTTCTGATTTCTGAAGCAAACACCAGAGCATTAGAAAGAGTGCGAAAAAGCAAAAGAGCAGAGGGTTGTGTTTAACCTTGGACCCTTTGTGGATGCATACCTGGCAGGATTAGTCTCCTCTTTTATGAGCTTACACACCGCAGGCAAAGCAACAATACAGGATTATCCTCTTAAGAACTCAGACAGTCATGCAAAACATCATGCCTGTGTTTTCCTTCATGTGAAACAGTCAGAGGCCTCTGTTCGTCCGTGGCTAAAAGACTCTACATTTTGTTCAAAACAGTCATGCAATCTGTTTTTTTCTTTTTTAGTTTTAAGTAGGCATTGGGTGTTTCACTGATAAAGAGGGCAGGCCACAAATCAAAGTCATGTGGGCTTTTATTGACGTGGTCACTTGTGTCTGTGACAGTCCTGCTTTTTTTCACACTATGACAATATGTTACATTACTGTACTGCAGGCAGTGCTGACTCACCAGGCACACGATCAGCTCATTGATTCAGGAACACATCAACAATATATAAGGCAAAACAAACAATGTAATCACTGTTTATGGATAATTGATTGATTTTCTCTCTACAACCAAATGTATTTACTGTATCTTCAGGAATTTGTGCTAAAACTATTTTGTCATTTGTTTGTTATAGAGCAATACAACACAACTATTGTGCTAAAAGATTGTATATTAGCTGTTTATTATAAGCAGCTGGACAAATTCTGACATGCTGATAAGGATAACATTGGAGTCTCTCAATAGAAAAGCAAAATGACGTCACACATGCTGCAAAATCTGCCCATAAGTACTGAAATAAAGAGGGTTTTGTTTTTACTAATGTCCAAAGGCAAACATATTCATGGTTAACTTATGTTCACTTGTCCAGTGTAATTGAGCTTTTAAAGGTGGGGATTTCAATTATTACGTATTATAATAAATCCTAATTGGGCTGCTACTTAATTTTTAGTGAATAGCTAAAACAATAAGAAATCTATACATTTTGTGTATTCATTGTCTAGCTTTTTATAAAGTTATAGTTTTTATTTTATTTTAAATGTATATTTTATGTCATTTTATTATTATTATTATTATTATTATTAAAATGTAAT